CATGAATTGTATTATTTAAGGTCTGGAATTTTCTCAGTCATTACATGAATAGTGTATGTATAAACTATTGAGCATATTTGAGTAATAACAATTTTAGCAAGTAAATTAGATAAAAAAATTATCAAGGATGTGTCTAATACGCATGAGAAAATAGTAGCTGTGAGTGTTGGAAGGGGAAAAAAAGATCGTGAAGTATGCAGGGGACATTTGAATAAATACATATTACTTCAACAATGACAAATTGCAAAAAAAAAAAAAAAAAAAGTTATGTGTGTGAGAAAATAGTAATTGAGAAGGTTGTTTGAAAAAAAAAATCTTAATTAGGAACACATTTGAGAAAAGGTAAATTAATGGATCACTTTTGATATAGCTTAGATTATATCCAAAACTATTATAGAAGGGACCAATTTGAAATAAAACCTGTTTTCACAAGAATAAATTAGAGAAAAAAAATTCAATTGGATACATTTAAAATGATAAGATTTAATAGGAAAAAAAATAATTCAATTGGATACATCTTAATGGTATCCCTTTCATCACTAAAGTAATGAGTCGGTACCCACACAGAAGGAACTCCAAGTTTTTCATTTGGTATGCAAACGACTTTTATGCGAAATACAACCTGAAAAACCAGTCTCAGTTGTATTTTCTTGACCGCGAGTCTCTTGTCCGCATACAATTGGTTATTGGATTACTAAGGGTAATGAAGAAAATGATAGGAAATGATAGGAAATGACTTTAGGGATAGTTGAATAGGTGGCGCATCTTGCACGCAATTGATAATAGTGATAAGCCTTTCGCTTGTATGCTAATTTCTAATCTCAACTTGTGATCTTTTTTGCAACTAATCACTGAGGAGAAATGGCAGAAACTGTAACTGTGGTGACTCCTGTCATTGATATGTTGGTTCAGCTACTACTCAAAAGAGCCACTTTGTTCAGGAGAGTCCATGGAGAAGTGAAGAGTCTGAAAGATGAATTGGAGAGCATTCAGTGTTTCCTCATCGAGGCAGAGGAAAAGTTGGAGAAAGGAGATGTGAACGACGGCGTGAAGACTTGGGTGAAACAAGTACGAGAAGAAGCGTACCACATAGAAGATGTCATGGACGAATACCTTCTTCGTGTGGCACAACGCAGTCACCTGCATGGTTTCATTGGTCTGCTCCATAAAACAGGTCACTTCTTTAAGTCCTTTAAATCACGTAATGATGTTGCTTTCGCCATTAAAAGCATCAAAGCATCGTTACGTGAAATCAAGGATAGAGGTGAAAGATATGGCTTCAATTCCTTGGAAAAATTAGGATCCTCAAGTAGCAGAGCACTCACGAGCTTTGAACGCTATGATCCTCGATTGGGCTCACTATTCATTGGTGAAGATGAATTTATGGATGTGTACTCTACCCGGGATGAATTAGTAACAAGGTTGGTTGAAGGAGAACTCAGTCGCACGGTGATTTCATTCGTAGGTGAAGGCGGCGTTGGTAAGACTACTCTTGCTAAGCAAGTTTATGACAATGAAATGGTGAAAGGACACTTTGATTGTCGAGCTTGGTTTACCGTGTCTCAAGCATACAACCCGGATGTGCTACTAATGACCATGAAAAGGTACTTTTGTCCAACTTTTGAGTGTAATGTGGGAGAAATCGACATGATGAAAGAGGTAATTAGCCAACTGAGACAATGTTTGCAGGCCAAGAGGTACGTTTTTGTCTTTGATGATGTTTGGCACACCGACTTTTGGGGAGTTATGAAATATGTTTTGCCTAATAATGACAAAGGTAGTAGGGTTATTATCACAACACGCAATGATGCGGTTGTAGCTTCTTGTAAAGACACTGTATTTGATCTTGTCAAGAAGTTACAACCTTGGTCTCAAGAAAGTTCTTGGGAGTTATTTCTGAAAAAGGCATTTCAATTTGAGCGCGATGGATGTTGTCCTTTAGAGTTAAAGCAATTGTCTCTTGAAATTGTTAGACAATGCCAAGGCTTGCCACTTGTTATTGCAGCGGTGGCCGGTTTATTGTCAACCAAAGAAAAGGTTCTGTTTGAATGGAAGAAAATATATGAGGCACTCTGTTTTAACTTGGAAGGTAACCCTCAGCTTTCAAACATTTCAAAAATTCTCTCTCTCAGCTATTATAACCTACCTTACTACCTGAAGTACTGCCTTTTGTATTTTGGCATTTTTCCTCGAAACCATCTAGTCCCTGACGTAAGATTATATAGATATTGGATTGCAGAGGGTTTTGTGAAAGAAAGGAGAGAAAAGACATTGGAACAAGTTGCTGAAGAGTACTTGAATGAGCTCATCCAAAGAAATTTGGTTCAAGTATGGAATATGAATTTTTCGGGGTCTGATAAATTATGCCGAGTTCATGATTTGATGCATGATATGATCTTCTCAAAAGCTGGTGAGTTGGGTTTCTGTAACGCCTTCATTGGAAAAAAGTCTAGCTTAACTCAAAGAAGTCGTCGCTTAGCAGTCTATAGTAGCTCACATGTTATGGAGAATGTTGAAGACTATAGTGCTCGTTCCATTTTCGTTTTTAATAATGAATTGACTACACCTTTTGTGGAATTTACGTTTGAAAAGTTTAAGCTTTTAAAGGTGCTGGATTTTTCGAATACTCCTCTAGATTGTATTCCAGAAGGACTGGGAAGTTTACATCATTTGAGATCCTTAAATCTAAGGAATACTAAAGTGAGGATGCTTCCGAAGTCTATTTGCAAGTTGAATAATCTAGAAACCTTGGATATCGTAAATACTCAAATAAGTGAGCTACCAATCGAGATCAACAAGCTTCGAAATCTACGACACCTTTTGGGGCTTTGTCATGACCCCGCACGCGGATATGGTATCGAAGCATTTCAAGGACAGAGATTGCATAGAGGTATTGGGCATTTAGAAGAGTTACAGACTCTTAGTAATGTGCAAGCACTTCATAATGAGTTTTGTATTGTGAAAGAGTTGGAGCTGTTGACGCAATTAAGGTGGTTGGGCATCTCAAAACTAACTGAAGAAATGGGAAGATCTCTTTGTACCTCCATTGAGAAGATGAACAACCTTGAACGTTTAACTATATGTAGCACGGACACCGAAAGCGAGATCCTAGATTTGCACTCCATTTCATCTCCTCCTCACTTTCTACAGCGTCTGAATTTGATGGGTCCATTAGATGAATTTCCCAGATGGATTGTGAACCTTCCCTATCTAAGTAGACTATCTTTATTTTCCTCAAGGTTATCCGACGAGCCCCTGAAATATCTTTGCCATTTGCCTAATTTGTCGTTACTTTGGCTCTGCCGGGCATATAATGGAGAGAAATTGCTGTTTAAGGAAAGTGGATTTCAGAAACTCAAGTTGCTAGAAGTGAGCGAGTTGTACAGACTAAACGCGGTGACGATAGAGAACGGATCATTGCCACTTCTTGAAGAGGTTCGGATAGGGTCAAACCCACAACTGAAAGAGGTTCCTTCGGGCATGCAAAATCTAAGAAGCCTCAAACTTCTTGAGATTTCTCAGATGCCGAGCGAATTTGTGCTTGGTTTGCAACGACAAGGACTCCAAGATTCTTTGAAAGTTAAGCATGTACCATCTATAAGTTCATGGTATAGAGGTGATGGAGATCTGTATGATGTATTTCATGATCAGTGATATGGAAAAGTTGGTTCCTTTACCAATCACTATGAGCTTCTGAGCCTTGACATAGAGTGCAGTTACAGGTATACACATCTATTGTACTTAAATCTCAAATTATATTTTGAATGGTGTAATTAGATCTAATTGCAGACTTTGTTTTTTTTTTTTTTTAAATTTTGTTTTGGATAACCTAGAAGTTGAAATAAAAATATGAATGTTGGAACTAACTTGGGATTGTGATCAAAATGCAGGGAAGCCTGGCTAACCATGTTGCCGAGAATAAATCAACGTTGCACACATCTCGAGTTTGTGTGGCTAACCATGAAGTGCAGCTGAAAACAAGTTCATCCGGTGAGCATGAGAACCAGACAGTTCTCTCTATTTATGCGCCTTACTTCTTTCCCTCTTATATGTTTGAATTGAAGAAAAATCAGTTTCTGCGTACAAGGAATAGTTGGCTAATTAGTGCATTATTTTCTTTGCAGTCTCTTTGGCGCCGACTCAGGCTGATATTGATGATGGAAAGGTAGAACTGAAATTCGAGTCTTCTGTGTACCGATCATCTTGGAGGACTAGTATCAAAAATGGATTTAGTAGAAACCAAAGTTGATCAAGAACCATAATTTATGTTATTTTAAGTTTAGCATTCAATTTTATCATAGTTCATCTCAGTTATCCAAAGGAGCATTGTTCCTATCCAATCTTAAAAAAGCAAATATACTTGCATATTAGAAATTTATTCACTTTGATGTCTGACAACATATAGATCTACTCGTACACACCTCTTTTCTTTCCAACGACCGAACTGAAAAGGAAACGTGTTCCATTCGAGTTTACGGTGATGTTACAAGTGTGATATTTCAAACAAAAACATGTTTTCGAAGTAGGCACACTAGAAAAACAGATCCATGATTAACCATATACCATCACCTAAAGAGATTGTAAAGAGTAAGAAAATTACAATGGTCATAATCACAAATAACAGTAATTAATAAAGGATTTAATTTTGTTCACGTGTTCCAACTAGTTAGCGACATATCATAATGATGAAAGACACCATATAAATAATGATTTCAGGGGAAACAAACAGAGTAATGAGCAACATGTTATGAGAAGTGGAGCCTAATCTTGTTTGGAAGCAAGAAAATAGGAGAAAAGAGCAGGCAGGCATTTTTTAGTTTTTCATCCTTTTCTTGTACTATATAAGTACCTATCATTAGAGGATTGTGTGTGATGATTTTCTGAGAGAAAATTAGAGTGAGAGACATAAAATTGAGATATTACATGGGGGTATATCAACAAGGAGCCATAAGCGCAGGTGTCGATTTGTTGGAGAATGTTCCCCATTTCTTTGAAGAAGATGAACTTGTGGGCGTCGACTTCCAAAAGAAGGAACTTGTCAATATGCTGGTTGGAGAACCCATCCACAACCACACGCTTGGTGATTTCATTGATGGGTATAGGACCACTCTTGCAAGTATTGCAAACCAAAGTGCAGAGGTTCAACAACACTTTGATTGCCATGCTTGGATCAATGTGTCTCAATCCTACAACTTTGAGAATCTATTCAGGCGTCTAACAAAGATGATGTGCCCAGACCAGGAGTCTCTTCTTGAAATGGATATGGTACAAGAGCTAATTAGTTGCTTGAATCGATACTTGATGAAGAAGAGGTACGAGATTGTTTTTGATGGTGTCTGGCAAACAGAATTTTTCCATATTATGAATGAATTCGTGCCCGAAAACAATAACGGTATCAGGATAATCATCACAACACGTGACAGTTTTATTGCGGCATCTTGTGATATTGTTCAAACATGACATCCTTTGTCTAAAAAAAAGAGCTCAAAAACTATTTTTAAAATCTGCAGCCGTACTTGATTGCCCCCCTAAATTAGAAGCGTTGTCTCTTGAAATTGTAAGAAGACGCCAGGGATTGCCACTTGTTATTTGGGCCATGGGTGATCTCTTGTCAACTGAAAGCCGTATCTTATCATCTACAGAGATAGCATCTTAATGGCAAGCTCAGCTTGACAATGTCAATAATGAGATTGGCATGAGCCCCTCCCATATTGAGGAAGTTTCAAGAATTTTCTATCATAATTATGATGATCTTCCTTCCCATATGAGACTCTGCTTGTTATACTTCGGTATCTTTCCTAAAGACTATCTAATTTCTGATGTAAAATTAGTTAAGTTGTGGATCGCTGAGGGTTTTGTTAAGGAAGAGTACAGAGTTGCACGATTTGAGGACAGTAAAAATAGAGAGAGGAGCATTGCCTTTGTTAGAAGAGCTCAAACTTGGACCAGGCCAGAATGACTTGTCATTCGACATCCAAAACCTTAAAATTCTCCGAGTTCTCCAAGGTTGCGACATGTATGATGAATTTGTACTCCATTTGTGTTGGAGAGACACCAAATGTGAAACTGACTCAACACACTTAAAGAGCTTAACTTGACCTAAAAGGTTAACTTATTAGGTCTTGAGTCCTTCCATGTATATAAACCACTAAACATTCTCATCCACTTTCTTGTGGGACAACACATGCACTTTTCTCAACAATCTCCCCTTCAGTGTGTTTACTGAGCTCCCCTTTGGACCAAAGTTTTTAGTAGCCAGTATATCCAAGCATCACATTCTAAATGGGAGCCAACTCAATCATAAAAAAGAGAATCAAAACAATGCGAATCTACCAAATGCTCCACCATCCGCATCTACACCAGCACCAAATGCGGGAACACCAACTCGCCACAGGAGGCAACGTGGGAACTGTAACCAAGTGTAATTGCTTAGCCCATACAAACTATTGGCTCTGATACCACTTGTTGGGGAGACACCAAATGTGAAACTTGCCCAACACATTTCAAGAGCCTAACTTGACCCAAATGTTAACCTATTAGGTTTTGAGTCATTCTATGTATATAAACCACTTAACATTTTCATCTACTTTCTTGTGGGACAACACACATGCACTTTTCTGATGTAATGACTGAGAAAATCCTAGACATTAGATAATACAATTTATTTATTTAAGCCAAGAATTTTTCTAAAAAATATTATGTTATTTTGTGAATGGAGGATTTATAGAATTAATATATGTATTCCTAAATTCTATAGCAGATTTCATGTTAAGTTCATGTTTCGATCAAGTAAATTTGATCGATAAATTCTCACCGTATTTTAAGGCGGAATAATTTTCAGTACAAGTATAGCTTGAGAATCTTAATTTCAAGAATCTCCAAGCACAGCACGATGTTAACAGCGTATAAAAAAAAACGCACTGACATTTTAAAAGAAGAAAAAAATCCTTAATTGTCAGACAGTTAGGTTAAAGTCACAAGATAAATACCCATAGTAGAAGGGTACAATGTGAGTTCGGAAGTTGACACCGTCATAAACAACGTCATTCCCGGAATATAATGTAGAATAGTTAAATTTAGATTTTGTTCAGTCTAAAATTAATTTCAAGACTTGAAACAGTTCGAAATATTAAGCGAGTAAGAATATAAAACAATATTGAATTATTTAGAAATTAATGTTGGACTGTAAGTAGTAGATTAAATTACGTAAGCTAAATTAATTACCTTTAATCAGTATAAATTTAATCTGTTTAGAGGAAATATTTGAGGATAAGATCAAGCACGTAATCTTGCCATAATCAGACACTTTATATAGTGAAATTATTAGGGTACTCTCACTTTTTCTCTCTTACTCCCGCTCACTCTCTCTCTTCTCTCACGTTTTCTCACAAAACCATCAATGGCCAAATACATAAGTTGAGATTTCGACCTCCGTTTTTGACACCGCCAGTGTCAATAGAAAGATCTCGATGAGCTGAGTTCAACGACATATGGCACGACCTCCAACTCCGCCAGAATCAACCGCAATCGCCGGCGGAAGTTCCAAAAATACCCATTTCTTCCCGTTGTGATATCTCCGCCATCCGACCTCCGATTGAGATGATTTCAGTCCCTATGGACTCAGTGCAGCGAGACGAAGAAAACCCATCCATTTTCATGGAGGGAGAAAGGAAAACGTAGATCCAGACGCAATCTGCTACTTCTGGATCATTCGCAGCAGAAGCGGTTAACGAGGAGGGTATTATGGAGTAGGTTCTTGGAACCCGCAGAGGACACAAGACTGGAATTGTGACGACCCTCCTATGAGGCCGCCACTGTAACTTAAACTTTAACTTGTACTTACTGGCATTTCTTAAAATTTGCGGAACATTTTTTTTTTTAAAACATAAGAATGAATACTTTCATAATTCGTAACAATAATTTCAAAAGAATAAATCACTGAATTTCTTAAAGCTTTTCTTAATTTCAATTAAGATAAAACCTTCTAGAAATATTTTTCAAATGGAGCTGTGTTTGAACTCTTGTTTCAAATACTCTTTAAAAGCCTTTCTAAAACTAGCCAATTCAATTGGGCCATTTAATTTGACTTTAAAACGGATTTCGTGAGAAATCTTAAATTCAAGTACATCTTAAAGTCCTTTTAAAATCAATCATTTAAATCGTCATGTTTAAAATTCGTTTATTTGTTGCATGCACTGTTGCAACGTTCTAAAACTTAAATACTCAAAACTAGGGTTGTTAGCTACAACCTCGATTTTCTTAACATACATATGTACATATACTTTTTAAA